CACGATTCTGAATATGTAAATAACTTAAGTTAATTCTCAAAGATGAGCATGAATTTATCACAGTATCAAATTCTGACCTAAATATTTTTAGAGATTCAAACTCAAAATTCTCCCTACTCAAGCAACATAAATAAAATCTATGGACATGTATAGTTTCAGGGCTCTAGATTTTGAGGTCCCATCAAATGAAGATGATAACCAAGAGGAAGATGATAATAATGTGAAAGCTAAGGAGAATAATAACCAGAGTTTTGATGAAGAAGAAGCAAACTATTTAGATGAACATTATCCTCCTGCTGATGACAAATATAAGAAGTTGGAAGATTGCCTAAATGCCATGGAAATCTGGAGAGTGCATGGGTTGGATGTTGAGGAGTTGGGATTGGTCTCGGGGGTTGTTATCCCTCACAAATTCAAGGTCCCTACTTTTGTGAAATATGACGGTGTTTCCTATCCTAAACTGCATTTAAGGTATTATATTCGGAAGATCTAACCTCATACTACTGATAGGAAGTTATAGGTACACTTATTTCAAGAGAGCTTATCTGGGATACAACTGGAATGGTTCTATCAGCTGGAAGGAACCAATATACGTACTTGGGAAGACTTGGCTGCTACTTTTTACAAGCAATATCAATACAATGATGACCTTGCACCAACTCGTGTGCAATTATAAAGTATGACTATTGGCTCGAACGAAGGCTTCAAAGAGTATGCCCAGAAGTGGAAATATTTAGCTGGAAGAGTTCAACCTCCCTTATCTGACAGAGAGCTGGTTAATATGTTCATGGGAACTCTGACAAGGCCTTTCTTTAATCATCTAATTGCAAGCTCTTAATCTGGGTTCACTGAGCTGATTTTAACTGGGGAACATGTTGAAGGTAGAATCCGAAGCGGAAAGATTCAAGTAGCTACGTCTTTAAATGTTGTAAAGAAGACATTAAACAGAAAGAAGGGAACTAATGTTGTTTATGGCCAGAAGGGTCGTGCTAGAAATGATCGCAATCAATCTGTAGGGGTTGTGCTAATTTCTAATCCAACGCATGTGCAACAACATTAACAAGGCAATCAACATAGATCAGACACACCCAGGATACAGTTTACTAAGATCAACATGCCATTGTCTCAAGCATTACAACATCTACTGAAAGCATAACTGATAACGCTAAGGGATTCCCCTCAGAATCCCAACACCTCTTATTCTTATTATAATCCTAATGTGAAATGTGCTTATCATTTCAATAGTCCTGGACATGACACCAATAGCTGCTGGGCTTTGAAGAATAAAATTCAGGATATGATTGACAATAAAGTGATTGAGTTTGATCCTTTTGATACTCCCAATGTGATTACTACACCTATGCCAAAGCATGACAAAGGCATTAGTGCCATTGATGATGTTCTTTTTGTTTCTGTTGTGATCTCTTTTGGACTTTCTTGAAGTTGTTCCAATCCTTACTTTATGCTGGAAGTTGTTGAATCACTCCAACCAAATCAAGTTGTAAAGTACTGTTTTTTTGAGTTTGGAAGATGGGGATAATGGCGTTATAGAAGTTGTTCTTGTGTTTGAATAACTTCTATATGATGTATGTGAAGTATTTGGATGATTTGTTTGGGCAAAACTTGCAAGGTGTGTGAGGTTCAAATATTTGGACTTCAAAGCTCAAAAATGAAGGTTTTATGGACAATTCTTGTTTTTTTTAGAGTATAGGGGTTTTGAGGGCTTATTCCTCTCTTTCTATCTTGAAAATGATCTCTCTATTTACAGGAAAGAGGTTTTAAGACAAGGGTTGATCAGATTTGCAAGATCACATGTTGTGGCTAGGTTGGATTGTAAATGAAGTAAGCTTGAAGATCATAGTTCCAATGCTTTGTACTTTACTTCATAGAGTTGTTGGATACTTTAAGCATGCTTGTCTGATTTTATGTATTGAGTGTGTGTAGAAGGAACAATTTAGAGGCTCAAGAAGAGTCGACTTTGTGATTAAAGCTACTTTGCAAGAATGACAATGTTAACTTTGTGCCAAAAAATGGAAAGATCACTTGAACAATGCTTAAATCAAATGGACCATAGATCAAAAGTTTGTGTAAACATTAAATTATGGTGAGATTTATAAGTTAGAAGGCATGCAAAACAAAATTGTGCAGCATAACATGTAGATTGGATTATGTGTTCTTCACCAAAATGACTTGTAATTCAAGAATGGATGTCCAACTTCATGCCTTTGGATCTCCTAGCTAAAGTATGATAAATTAATGCTCTTGGATATTTTGGAAAGCTTGAAACATTGTATACAACTTTCATGTTGTCCACTTTGGCTAAATCAAACTGGAACTTGATGAAAATTGGCCAAAAAGTTGAGATAAAAACCTGACCAAACTTGTTGAAATTTTCTCTAAGTGTTTATACAAAAAATGTCATGACTTCATGAGCCTATATCTTCAAATCTAAGCATTTTTTGGACATTAACCCTCTAATACAAAGTCGAAGAATCCATCAAGATCTATAACTTTAATGTTGGAAGTTTTCTTTGAATCATCTTGCATCTTGGTGAAAAAATGTCACGAAGCAATGAAATTATTAAGTGTAAAAACACTTAGAAAATTTCTAAGTATTGGAAACTTTAACTTTTTGTTGATTTTCTTGATTTTCTTGATTCTTGATGATCAAGTTTAATAATTTTGAAGGTCTTGATGAATTTTGATCTTTGAAATTTAATATTGACCAAAAAGTCAAAGTTTGACTTTTTATGTACCAGTTGACTTTTCGTTATTTGATCCAAATTTCAACTATCAACCCTTTCAGGGATAACACCAGCAAAGGATAAATATAGAGAGTGAATTCATGGATGCTGCGAGGAACATATTAATTTACCGGACAAACTCATGAATTCACCGGGGAGCATATTAATCTCCGCGTAAAATTCATGAATTTCGCGGGGAACAAATGAATATCACGAGCTTATTCGTGAACATTACGCATGAAAATATGAACGCCCCGAGCAACCCACTGGTTGCCAAATTCTATAAATAATCATCAATAAAGCTAATCTAAATAATGATTACTACGGAAAACACTTGCTTAAACAGAGTAAATGGAAGAATTCACGACGGACTTGGCGGCGTTGACGGTTGGGAAAAGCAGCAAACGGTGTTGACAACAAAGAGAGTGGGGAGCATGAAAAAGTGAATAGAAAATTGGAATGTGGGAAATGGGCCCTAAGGCGCTATATATAGAGCTAACGTGGAATACAAAGCATCGCATTGGGCAGCCCACTGAACGCCCTTCTCCTCGACATCTACGCGCTCAGGTAATAATGGTCCCTACTCCCTAGGCTATCATTACAGCCCTAAAGGTCACACCACGTGGCGGCACCTTGCCAACTTTTCTCTCCCCGCGACTTGAGGAACAACTGGAACATTCCCCATTAAGCCTATTCCGGCTTCTGCTCGAGTAATCATGCGTGCCAACGGCGATTTCCATCGACACAATAAAAGATCCCCGATTGAGTTACGCGTTCCTCGTAAAGGCAAAAGTGGACTTAAGTCATAACTCCTTCATAAGGAGCAACGACTTGGGGGGCTCCTGTTTTGGACTGGGCCTGCTTTTGGCCCAACTCTATATGAGGACCAGCCCAATAATGCTATTGGAGACTAATTGTCTGAATCTGCCCTCGATTGTGTCGAGCAATAGGCCACACGGGGATAAACTCAGGGAGATGCGGGGAGGAGCATCGCCGATCAAAAGGACCTCGAAGAATATCCTTCAGGCTTCTCCTCGAGCAAAGTCGATCCTCCCCTGACGGCCTCATGCCTGGCGAGGATCCTGCGCGACGGGCAGAAGTACCCCACGAGCATCCTCCTCGTAGGGATGACTATCAACGCCTCTGAAAATCAGAGTCCACATGACCCCGAAAAGACCGCATCCATATCCTACTGGTCATGCGGAGGAATTCATCCAGGTAGGAGACCACGTGCTGGTCCCTACTACTCACGTAGAACCTGTCAGTCTCTACTTTGGACCTGCTTGCCCAGCCCAATGAGGGGACTTTGGCCCAACGCTGGGGGCTATAAATATCCTCTCACTTGAGAGAGTCAGGTATTGATCACTTCTTACTTGCTTGCATAATTTTGAATCTCACTTTTCCATCAGAGTGTCTTGCAGGTACCTCCATCTCACTTTCAACTTCTGCTCAACGTAAGTTGTGACGGTCCATTCTGATCAGATACGATCAGTAATCAACCTTTTAATTAGTTTGATTTGTTTTAAATTAAGAAAGAACTAATTGAGTGAAACTATTGTATTTGTACAAATGTAAATTATTTTGTTATTGAATAAATTTATGTGCTTAAAACTAGAAGAATAATGTTATTTCACTCATGATAACAAGTTAAACTCATTACAAATATTGAGTCGTCAAGTGAAATATCAATCAAAACAAAACAAAATAGTGTAAGGAAGATCCCCAAATTCAAAATGAAAAAAAAAAAATTATCAATAAATGAATTAGTTAACACCCCTAATGAAGCTTAAAATTGAGTTATGGACCATAGGATAATGTAAGTAAGTTAGAAATTAGACTATATTAACCTTGATGTGAATGTTGTACCATATACTTATCACACCAATAAAAAAAGGAACATCATTTCCTTCATTAAAAATACTTTTACTCTTTTAATCTGAACCTTTGAATCATTTAATGCCCACATGTCGCGTATCTAAGGAACCGGATAACTGGAGCAGATACGGGCTCACTCAGACTCTCAATACCGAAGCATTTAGCATTCGGACTATACAGTAAAAGAGAAGCTAGATCCGCGCGTGAAGTTAGTATCACTATATGTAGTTGTTGTCGTTGATGTTCCCATCTCATCCACCGGAGAGAGTGAAGTTGCAACAACCAAAATTGGAGTTGAGTTCGGAATAGGAATCGGAATCGGAATCGGACTCACCATTTTCTTTCTTTCCGATCCAATCCAATCCATAGAGATCGAGATCCATGTTGTTCGCATCTTCACTCCTATTTTTACCTTTATTCTTATTATTTATATCTTCCATTCTATTTACCTCTTTTGCATCCATTCATATTTACAATCATGAACCTTTTCAAGATGTCGGTAATGCTTTTCTCCTCTCCGGTGGCAGCGAAGGCATCGCCGCCTCTCTCACCATCGCCACACATCCTGACTCCATCCATGATGGACGTTCTTACATTCGGTATTATCCCTTTCTCTCTGTTTCTTTGCAATTAATTAATAATCTAATGTAACGTGCATTGCTTGATTTCTACTGTCTGTTACTATACTTGTACTGTGTGATTTAGATGAATTCGTGAATTTGTATGAATTTACTACTGTCGCATTGAGCGATATAAAAGTAATTGGGGAAAACGAGTGTTAACTTTTGTTCGTGCACACCGGTGATAATTTAGAAAATAAATAAATTAAATGTAATTACAAGTGTCGGTGTCAGTTTCAACATAAACACATTTTTTTTCCAGATGTGTCTAGAGAGATTTTATGTGTATGTGCAAGTTCAATATAACATTTCTCTGTTAGGAACTGCAAAAATTGATGGATCAGATGCTATGCTAGATTGGACTTGGTGATAAGTCAAAATAATACTAAATGTGTGTTTGAATTTTTTTTTCTTTACAATTTGGTTATGCCGCAAAGTGAGAAGTTATGTATCGTGCTCACTTTAAGTAACATTACTAGTTGTTCCGTCCTCCGATGTCTGAACTAAGTTACTAACCTTATCTATTATATAACTGTATAAGTTAGAATGTTAGATTCGTTTATGAACGATGCTGCGAAGTGCCAATATAAGATGAGCTGGTAGTTAGATTAACTGTTTTCGTGATTCTTCACTTGCTTGTTTTTGTTGAAATGGTGTTGCAATCTTTATGTACCACTTGATGAGACTGATGTAGTGTGATAGAAAATATGTGTCTTTTGTATGCTTTGAAATGTTAGAAATTGCATTTATAACACTCCACTCTTTATCTCCCTAATCCCAACCAGCAAACCAACCTTACATGTAGTATCTCCTTACATATGGATTTATATAATTCATATCTCTTATTTGTCAAACATAACAAAAAACACTGACTTTTTTTGTTCTTATGGGTGATAGATTTGAGAATATAACCTTTAGGAGAAGAAAATATGAAGCCAAGGCACGTGGTACTGTACCGGTACACATTATTATTTTTGAGGCTGCTGATCGTGATGATATAGGCGGTTCTGTTTATGGCGGACAACGAGCAATCTGCTGCACCCGTGATTTAGCAAAAATGGGAGGTTGTAAGCAAGGAGAGGTTATCAGGAGAGCTTCTGCAACAGATATTAATTGGCCAATCATTGTAGATGTTTATTTCAAGGGGAAATCTCGAATTGCTAGTTTAGATTCTAAAGAAGTTCCTATCACGAAGACTGGAATGTATAATTTGTTTTTTGTAGCTTGTGACCCCAAGCTCAAGGAAATTGTAATGACTGGGAAGACAATCTGGAAAAACCCTGATGGGTTCTTACCTGGTAGAATGGCTCCATTAAAGAAGTTCTATGTATTTATGGCACTGGCTTATATCATCCTTGGCATAATTTGGCTCCTTCAGTATGTGAGGTTTTGGGATGATGTACTGCAACTTCAGCACTGTATCTCAGCGGTCATTGGTCTTGGATTGTTTGAGATGATTCTCTGGTATTCTGAGTACGCCAATTTCAACAATACTGGAGTCAGGCCTATTATGGTCACAACATGGGTTGTTACAATTGGGGCTATAAGAAAAACGATAGCAAGGCTTCTCATTCTCTCTGTTTCCATGGGTTATGGTGTTGTGCGACCCACTCTTGGTGGTCTTACATCAAAGGTCCTTTTACTTGGAATAACCTACTTGCTTGCATCAGAGTTGCTGAATATTACTGAATATGTGGGGACCATTGATGATGTATCAGGAAGGGCAAGGCTCATTCTAGTTCTTCCTGATGCTTTCTTGGATGCATTTTTGATTTTATGGATTTTTACTTCTCTGTCAAAAACATTGGAACAGTTACAGGTATCTTTTCTTCTATTTGCTATTTTTTTACAGCACCATGCCTCTAAATTTTTCTGTATGGGATTTCTGACTATCCTATCTTTTTGTATCTTCCTTGTCAGGCAAAACGAAGTTCGGTTAAGTTGGATATATACAGGAAATTCTCAAATGCACTACTAGTAACGGTGATCTCCTCAGTTGTTTGGATAGGTTATGAGGTAAGGCTTTTATCAATTTATTTATTTTGTGCAATCTAACATATCTCTGTCAAAAAAAAAAAACATGGACATGGACATGTGCTTCAGGAAGTTAATAACTAAAATTATTGTTTTATCTTGAGAAAAAACTGATATTCCTGTTACACTGTTATATTACATTGCTGCAGTAGAAAAGAAGAAACCCAGAAAATAGTCTGATCCTGATTTTAAATTTTAATTACTTACTTTTATCTAGCTTTCTTTATTTTCTATCCTTATTACCTCTGCATGTAGGTCCTAGACCTATTCCTTTGTATTTCCTATTTCTCACAGGTGGTCAAGTAATGGCCGGGTAAAAATATAGTAATGAATTCATCTGGAGAAGAGAGAAATGAGTGAGGATAACTTGCAAGAAGGAACCAAAATACCATAAAACATATTGAGTTGTCAATGTATAGGTCTATGTATCCCAACTAAGGGCTCTTGAAATAAGCATGTCTTTGCCCTAGCTCCCTCATGTGTGGAAACTGGCTACTCCTTTAGAGTTTGGCTATGCTGTTTTTACCTGCTGAGTAGAAATGCTAGCATTTGGGACTAACATTACTTCAAGAAATCTTGACTTGTAAAATGGAACCTGTTATTATCTGTCACTTTTTCCTTGGAAAGTATCAAGTGCACATGCCAGAATAAGACTAAGAGGCTTCTGATTAGAAAAGGGAGAGGAAGACCTGAGAAAATAATAAGAAAATCAATGTTTCTACAAAAAAATGATTTTTGATAGAGCTCAGCGGTACTGATCCATGTAACTGACCTACCTATTGGAATAAGGCTTGTTATTGTTGTATTCAAATATCAAGGAAATCCCAACAAATTAGAAAATAAATGTGTACCACTCAAAGTATCGGCCAATTGAACAAGCGGAAAATGCATGAACAAAGGAGAACACCAAAAGCGGATGCACATTAAAAATAAATTGATCCAATGATGTATGAACCAAATGATGACTAAGTGGGATTCTTCACTTTATGGATACATTTGAAAGAAACGTTCCAAAGGTGTTTCTGTCTCTGGTTATAATTGTGTTTGACTTATCTGGAATATACTGTCATCATGTAGCATTCTTCAATTGTTATTTTATCTGGGCCTGCCATCAGCACGTGTTAATTTTGCTTTTGCAGGTTTATTTCAAAGCAACAGATCCATTTAATGAACGCTGGCAGAGTGCTTGGATCATCACTGCATTCTGGGACACTCTTGCATTTGCACTACTCTGTGTAATATGTTATCTCTGGGCGCCTTCCCAGAGCTCTCAAAGGTGCATTCTACTTTTCAAGTCGGCAATATAACTTTTCCTTCCAACATCTATTACTGCTTATGTTTCAATTTTAAGATGATTCATTAGATGAATCTCATAATAAATAAGCTTCAAACTTTTGAAATTTATGACTCATCTAATGGGACTGCCTTGTCCTGAGAGGAAACCTTATATTGTTATGCAGTTGTGCCCACTTATGCTATGCTAATGTTGTGTGGCTAACCATATACTTGTAGTAGCGAAACGGTAAAATAAAACAAAAAACCGCATGCCATTTCATGATGTAACATGTGACTGAGATGTTTTCCGGTAGAGTCTCACTTATTTTGTTTTATTTGCCTCTGCGAACTTCATAGGTATGCATACTCAGAGGAAGTGGGAGAAGAATTTGATGACGAAGAAGCCGTGTCTCTAACTAAGGGAAAGCAAGAAGGTCAAGGAGAACTAAGTTTAGTCAGACAAGAGAAGAGTGCCCGAACTGATGCATCTTCTGATGAAGACGACGAATCTGATGAGGATAAAAGGGAATGAGGTTTTAACAGAATTCGTTTACCACGTTTGTATTGTTTTCCCTGCTGGGTTTTAAGTCACAAGACTTCTGCCCCGATCCTCTCGGCAAGAGCTGTTAATTTTGTTCATTTGTACTGAAATGTAGGTGCTTCATATTCTTTGACCCAAATTTGTTTTATATCTTGTATGTAATTAATGTATAACAAGTGTTTTACCCGTGTTGGTGCTCAAATTTGCTGTGTCTTTTTTGCCCTTGTATACTAGGAAAGCTACTCAATATTTGAATGAAATATGTCTGATTAAAGATGAGAAACTCTGATCAAAAAACTACCTCCAGCATTATTGCTAAACTTAATAATGAATCTGACTCTAAGTGGGGCTTGACACCTTGTTATGAATATGCTAGTAAACTATTTGTATGGACAGCGAGCCCTTAACTAGGATATGACAAGCTTACTCATTTTTATAGAAACTTAGGTGTGTTTAGGTGTGTTTGAATTGGCGGTCGACAAATTTGATTCTAGCAGAATTGAGTTTGATAGAATTGATTTTAACAGAATTGAATTTAGTATAATTAATTTATGTTTTGATATATTTATGTAAAAATTAGTTGAATAATAAATGTCAGTATAAAAATTACTCATAATCAATTCTGGAGGCAGAAGTTATAAATTTTAACTTCAAGTAGAATCAATTCTATTTTTGATATACCAAACACCTTAAAATTATCCAAAATCAATTCTACACCTTTAGAATTGATTCTGAGACTTATAAAAGTCAATCTAAACACGCACTTAGATTTTGTTTGGAAGTTTGGATTAGAAGAGAAGGTGGGACTTAAAAAAAAATGAAGTAAAATTTTTCTGAAGGATTTCAATAAAGAATTTTATTCATAATATAAAATCTCTCTAATATGAAGAAACTCAAGTTGAAGGAGGGTTTGGGAGAGGTTGACAAATTCTTCGATTATAATTTATGGTGTTATAATATTATGAAAAATTAAAAGTATAAAAATGATAAACACTATCGTTTTTTATTGAATGAAAGTTTTGAATTGTTTTGATAAATTCTTAAATTATGTCATTATAATATTATAAGAAATATAAAAAAAATGTTAATAAATTTTTTATTATTTTCTAATGAAAATATTATAAATATTTAAATATTATTTAGGGAGTGAAAAAAGAAAAAATTGAATGTCTTATTATACTTTCGTCGTTGATTTATAAATTAATAATTAATACCCTATATATAATTGGAAAAAAATACAAATAAATATTATAGTTAAGGAATTAATAATCAACACCCTATATATAATTGAAAGAAAATATAAATAAATGTTGTGTTTAAGAGTTGAACCCTAAATCAATCACCACTTTAACTCCATTAACAATTGTTAGCAATCTCACCCAATCTCAAAAGACTTAGTTAGCCATCATGCACACTATTATGAATTTAGGTTCGAAAATAATTTCAAACGAACTCATAAACGGATAAAAATTGCAAATTAAAAATCTCATAAGTAGAGAAAATTTAAAAATAAATTGTTCTGAATTGAGTCTGTTCTTGGTCCAATTTCATGTGAAGCCCAATCCAATTATGCCGATCAAGGTATGCTGGCCAGTTCTATCCTCGACTGCATCCGGCAACAACTCCCACTCTCTGCGAGGAGGTAGCATCACCACACGGGGATAAACCCAGTTAGTCTTAGGAAGATCATCGCCGGTCAGGAGGACCCCGAGGTCACCCTCCAATCCTCTCCTCGACCAAGACTGATCCTCCCACATGACCTCGCGTCTGGCAGGGAGCATCCACTACGAGCAGAAGTATCCCCACGAGCATCCTCCTCGTAGGGTTGACTATCAACGTCTCTGAATATCACAGAGTCTTCGTGGCTCCGGAAAGACCGCATTTATATCCTCTTGATCGTGCGGAGGAAGTCATTCAGGTGGGAGACCACATACTGGTCCCCACTACTCACGTAGGACCTGGCAGTCTCCACTTTGGGCCTGCTTTACCAGTCCAATGAGGAGACCTTGGCCCAACGCTAAGGGCTATAAGTATCCTCTCTCTTGAGAGGGTCAGGTATTGAACATTTCTCACTCTCTTACTTGCTTGCATCATTCCGTATCTCATTTTGGCATCGGAGTGTCTTGCAGGTACCCCCTCCACTACACTCTAAAGTACCGCTCGATGTAAGTTGTAACGGTCCATTCTAGTCAGGTACGATCAGTGATGTTGTCTGTGGGAAATAAGCTTTCCCTTCTTTCACTTGCATAAGACAAAAGCTAATCCAACTCCTTTTTGACTGTCATGGCTGACCTCACGGCAGAAAACAACCTGAATATTCATCCTGTCGATGTCAACAACAATGTCGCCGACAACAACGTCGGTGTTGTACCCCAAAATTTACCCTCTCATTCCTCAAGACATTTCTCAAAGGGGCTCCCAAAATTCAAGCTTACACAAATATATTTGGATTTTTCAGCATTAATATTATGGAAGAAATTGCTAAAAAAAAGACAAAACAAATGAAAATGCTCTTTTTTTGACAAAATTAAAGGAAAAACCAAGTTCCTTTCGATTCTACATCCTTCGATTGAACACTTTGGCCTTGGTTGCATCTTTCATTTGGGTGTTCGATTCCTTTGGGGCAAGTTTATTTCATGCTTCGGTCGAGGCATTGGGCTCATTTGGCTAAGATCATTTCCTGTTTCGTTTTGGCGTTAGACTTTGTTTGAAGATTTGTGCAAGTCTTTCGTTTGGCCACACGGCATCTTCCCTGCGTGTTAGCCAAGACATACAAGGCATAATTTCCTACCATAATAATATGCACAAGGCCAAAGTCCCCTTTGAAGCATTTTATTAGAAGCTTCAACAGGGTAACACTTCCCTTCAATATAGCTTCAATTCACAAGGCAAAAAGCTTCCTGATGATGTCCTTCGATTCAGGAGGCCAAAACCCCCTTTTGCCCTCTTTCGATCACACATTTTGCCCCTACAAGCCTCTTTCTTTTGGGGCAATGACTTTCCCAATGTTGTAAGCTTCGATTGAGCCTTCCATCCCTGGCACACATCCTTCGCTTGGGGGTGTGAATCCTTGAGCACAAGTATTTTGTTATTCTTTCATTTGGGCATCTGGCTCCTCTTTTACAAGCTTTCGTTTGAACATATTTACATGAGGTCACAAGGCAGAAACCTCCTGCACATATTCTTTCGTTTGGCCATATGGCTCATTTGCAGGCAAATTTGAGTGGGCGGGATCTCCTGTAGAAATGGCCTGTTCCAAATATACAAACTCTTCACTATGTCATTGCCTCAGGCGAAGAAAGCACCATGGTGGTGCATTCAAAGAGTTTTGTCAAGCATGTTTGGATGTCCCCAATCGAAGGACATATATTACTGACCCATCCCAAGAGCATTAATTTGGCCCCTTCGAAAGATATCCATGGGAGTCATTCGAATGATACTTCGATTGGAAAAAAGAGATGGTTATTGAAAAGTCTGGTCGAAAGGCAAGGCTAGGGAGTCAAGACAAAAGGTTGAGATGCCAAAGGTACTTGTTGACCAAGTCTCATGCACTGTCAGGATCAAGTCTGATACACTGGCCATAAAACTCCAAAACTGCTGCATAGTAGTCCTGCATTGCTGCCATATTCCTTGCACCAAAATAAAATATTGTCCTTCGAAAGCTATAAATACAGCATACCCTTTTTGTTTAAACTTTTTGTTTTCCCTCCCAAAGCATCAGTCCAAGCCATCTATAAAGAGGAGGCATCACCACACATATTAGGCGCGCCTGAAGGATTACAAGAAAAACACTTGTGAAAATTCTCAGAAATTCTCAAACACTTCCCAACATTCTTTTTCAAACACTTCTATACACTAAGAAAAAAACCTTCGATTCACCCTCCAAGTGATCATCAAACTACCTTTCGACTCACTCCCTCAGCTACCTTACAGTAGGCCTTTGAGTTACCCTATTACTTGTTATAAAAAAGCTTTCGATCCACTCACACAACCTCTTTCGACCCAATCACTGCTTTCACAAAGTAGCAACTGGACTAGCCTCAGGAAAGTCCCAACGAACTCCCATTTTCCATCAAAGAAAGCGCTTACATCTCCCTTCGATTTAAGAACTCCAAGAGGTAAGTTTTCTTTCAAACTTGAGTCTATTTTATTTTAATATCATGTGCATATGCCAATAAAGGAAAATGTAGACAGTTCTAGACCATGTTTTAGCTTTCGATTCTGACTGCCTATATGTTGAAAACTCAACCTTACTTTAGTTATGCTTTGGACTTTGAGACCCATTAGTTTTCATGCTAACCCCTGGACTGTAGTTATATTTGGATATTGAATTTTTAGACTTTAAGACAGGTTTGTTGTACCCTTCGATTGATTAGTTGTACAAGCCTTTCGAATCATAATTTGAGGGCCCGATATGCTTACAAAGAGTCAGCAAAGAGTCTGTGGCGAAGCATGAGCTTTGTTGCTCCTAGGCCTCAAACGAAGGCCAGAACCTTGTTGTCTCCAGGCCTCAAACAAAGTCCAGAACCTTGCCATCTCCAAGTCTCAAGCGAAAGATAGAACTATGCTGGCTTCCAAGCCCAGATGAAAAGCGTGACTATCCTGATTCCAACCCCCAATCGAAGGAGACAGAGAGGAAAATCGAAGGGCATGACTCCACTGACTTTAGAACCCAAATCGAAGAAAGCCAGGAAATGAAGAATCGAATGGCCTTTCTACCTGGATCGAAAGAACCATTTTTCTTGCTTTCATTTTATTTTTGCCTTTATATTTCCATGCAATTTAATATGATTGTAAAAGTGTAGGATTTTATCTTCTTGCATTTTATTATTTTTGTATAAATGCTAGTAACTAGGATGTATGGCAAGATAAAAAGAACAAGTAGATAACCAAAAATTCAAAAGACAAAATACATGCAATCAAACACATTTGCACACTAGCAACTCTAGGGTAATCCCTCTTTGTTGCCATTCGGAAAATAGTCATGTCCC